GATTCTCTCTGATCAACTTATATTCTAACCTGGGGTCTGCAGGTGCATAGTTACATGTACAAACATCCATGAGGAGAATTATTACCGACGTGCCCCCCCCCCCACCCCTCATGAGTGTGATTTATCCTTGGTGTACAGTGTGAATACCGTCCTGTCTGGCTGTTGAACAACGAGTCCGCGGCTAAAGGTCTGTCTAAATCACTCCTGAGCAAACTGCAAACAATTCTCCGCGGCCGCATGGTGGAAGCCTGTAACCTGCTGAAGGGGCGGTTTCAGAAACGAACCAAGATGGTCGCTTCTCTCTTCTGTTCCATTTCGTCAGATGTAAACATCCATACCAATCCTTGTCTACAGTACATGTCCAGGGAGTTATAAATAAGGGTTAGCCCTCCCCCCGCCCAACTGATTTTCAGTGTTAGGTTTTTTTTATATATTTTGACAGAAGACCTGTCAAAGCTTTAAAGTTTACTTGAATAATGGGTTATGGCTGATCTGATACACCGTGCCCTCTGGAGACATGCACACAATAGGGAACAAAAGATTGTATACATGTACGTCTCCACAGGGCAATTTCTATAGATGACTACGTCTCCACAAGGTTTTCACAAAATAGATATATGGATTTCGCAAATGGAAGAGTTTTAGAATTTTAAGGGATATTAAGTCCGAATTTCAGGCAAGGAAATTAATTCTGGTTAAAATTCGAACATTTGGAAACTTCACTTTCAAACTCGAAAACTTTACTACACGAGAACAAAGAAATGTCTCCACAAGGATACAAATTTCAGTATGGTGTTTAGATGTGTACAAAATGTACGTAGTTAAGAAGTTTTTGGAATGTATCTTACAATGCACATACATGTATACATGTTACTTTCTTCAAAAAAATGTACAAAACTGCATATACCGGTACAGTATACATGTACATGTACATGTACAGTAATACAATGTGTACGTACATGTACATGTACATGTACATGTATTCATGACATCACTATCCCACCCACTGAATGGTGTGTATGTACATACATGTTGTACCATATATTTATGCACTAGGACATTTTAAAGGCACTCCTTAATAAAGTAATGGGACACTTGGGAGTCTTGATGCAGGATGGGTGAGGTTCAAGTTTAGATTTGTAAACAGAAAGTGATGATAGGATGCACATGGAATGTGTGTAGGCTGTCCTCCACCCCAGTGACCCTCACACTCTCTGATGCCCGATCTTTGACCTCTGTCAACGGTTCCTGTATAGGGGTTTGCACGTAATATATCTGGATTGAATGATTGCTGTGTTTACAATGAAAAAAAATGATAGATTTTAGCTGTTTGAATGACTGAAAGTCTGTGAGACCAAACAATGTCCCCTGCTGACTCTAACACTAACTGGCTATTTTTCATTTGACTGATTATTTTTTAGTTTTTGCAGAACACACAGAGCTAAAGTTACGTACATGTACACTAGAATCTAAAGTACAGTGTTTATAGGAGGGAAAAGATGTTGGTGAACCGTGAAGAGCAAATACCCAATAGAAAAATAGTAGCTGTGGTCATTTGAACAAAGTGGTATACCCTTACTGCCAGTTTCTTTGTTCAACTACCGTCTACGGATACATGTAGGTACATGTACATGTGCATGGTTTCCCAGTGGATTTTATTTGATGAAAAACAAATGCCCAAAAAGAAACAAAGGTGGTCCACTGAATTCACACCAGATGTGAGATGCCTTAGACATTGACCCTGTACACAGCGGAGGATCCAAGTTTACAGCAAGCCACAAAGTTTAACTGCAGCTCAGCACAGCCAGTTGGTGAAGTGCTTATCGCAGACAAGCCTTGCCTTACCGCCCAATGATCCCATTTTTAGTATGCGCTTTGTCAATGTCGGATCATGTTGCACCCAAGATATATTGTAGCCCATAAGACACACTGACGCATTGTGTCTAAGTGGCCAGTGGCCACCCATGAGACTCCAGGGAATTTGGCAAAAAAGGAAAAGCGATCAGAAACAGGGAACATATTCAACCAAACCTGTGTTGTTGCCTGTTGGTGTATTCCTACCGGTACATTATCATTTATTTGAATGAGTGGTCAGAAAAGAGCCCACATGAGGTTTGTCCGCCCCCCCCCCCCCCAAAAAAAAAGATTCCAGAAAATTTATCCAGCCTGTAGTACTTAAACCCCTACAGAATAAATGATAGCTTAAATACTTTGGAAAGGTTCATCTTCAATGTGCAAGTTTATTCGAAAAAACTGATCAATCATCACTCTAAGTCCTGGTGGAATCACCAGCGGGACATAAGATTATAGGACCCCTTTGACTCTGAAGCTTGACACTTTGGGAAAAATTGACCTCAATTGCTTTTGTCTGTCAAGTGAAGGTAATCTTTCCATCATGAAGACGACCCCCCCCCCTTTAAAATCAAGAGGACACAAGGAGAACAGGCTTTCTAAATTCGTCATTGGAGTGTAAGTGATTCCCAGCAGTGAGCGTATAACGGTCCCCCAGAGATCCTCCATAAACAGGGTGCGAATTAGATTGTTTGGATAGATTCCTTAGCGAGAGGAGACCCCGAAGGCTTCTGGGTAATATTCCTAGAAGGAATGAGGTTCAAGGTGAGTGAGATCAGATCACGTCAGACACCGCATTGATTCACTGGTGTCCTGGAGCTAAACATGCTGTTTGGATTTCGGGGACCGTTGAATTTGTGCGGCCTGTCATCGTGATGCATGTGTTTGGAGAATAAGATGTCCCCCTAAGGAACATCTTGTGAGCATTTTGGGATGTTATTTTCTGCTTTTGTGTTGTTATAAAGTGACATGCTGTTTGCACATACATGTACATGTAGGCTTGGAAACATGTGTTTGAATATTTCATTTTCACGCTTAGGCGTGTACATGTACATGTGTATGGTGTACAACTGTACCGGTACTTGCACGGAACCTAGGATCCGTGATGATAATGAAGCATACAAGTCTTTGATGGAATTTGATCCGACATCTGTTCCTTAACTGGGTTAGCTGTTAATTAACTGATCATTTTGAGCAACTGTTGTGCACGTACATGAACATGGGGATGATGTCGTACATGTACGTGTGATTTCACCTGTACAGGCCTTCATGTAAAATATCAGCTAATTAATGTACACGTACCGGGTATACTCTGCATAAATTTAAGTGATTGAAGTTTCAAAATTAAGCCTGTGTGAAGGTACAGGTACATGTACAGTATGTATGTACATGCACAAATGGATAAGGGCTACAAAAAAGCAGAAAGAAAATACAACAAAATTACAACAAATGAATCTAGCGACAGTCGTGCTTTGGTTTGTGAGATGAGCATTAATATCTTGCTGTCAGCCTTGCTTTTGTAGAATTCTCTCTAATACAGTAACAGCGCTGGAGGTTCATGATGTGTGCATGTTCACCTCTCAGCTCAGTGTTGACTACTGTCTGGCAGGAGCAGTACATACAATGTACATAATGTACATGCACATGAGCATTGTAGGATTTTTGGTTATTTTGTTAATCCGGTAACACTACAATTACATTGATTGTACTGTACATTGTTGATTTTTGTCTGGCTTTTAGTCCATTAAACCATAGAGCTCTATGATTAAACAGTGCCTTGATTGAATTTACAAAGTTCACAGTACCAGTGCATGTTAACAAGTTCTGTTTTTGTCATGTAACCGTATCTAGTAGAACATGTACTGGGTCGGTGTTCTTCAAGTTTTCTTCAAAGTTCAAGTGTTAGGTAAATAGCTCCAGGTTATGGTGTACTTCAGGTTATACTGGTAGCTCCATGGTTATGGTTAGTGTATTTTTAGTTTCAACTCAGATTTTTACATACACTACCAAAGGTGGACAGTACCGGTAAATCAAGTTGCAAGCATATATTCAGGCCAAGGGAAAAAAATTATTTCCCCGTCAAGGTTTTTTTTTTTAAAGGGATGAGATGGAGTTTGCAAGACACCGGATGGATTCGTCCATTTCATTTTCTCAATTCTTTTGCTGATACGTATCTGTGTCTAAAGCAGCCGTCATCCTTTGATACCAGATTTTGAACTTGCATGTATACATAGCTACAATTTTGCTGAAAACAAACAGACAAAAGATATTGCAAATTGAGATTTAAAAAATGGGGGGGGGGAGAGATGTGGGCAGAAAAAGAGAAGTGTGCGGGGAAGAGAATTTTTTTTTTTTACGTGGCCTTATTCTCTGTATGTTCATAATAGTTTTTGTTTTTGACTTGGCCCTATTCTGCATTTAATTTCAAAATCTTTCACAGATTTTGAAAGTAAATAAGGAAGAAGCTACTGTAAGGGGATTAGTCAGCAGTTAAGATACACATATGAAGAGTTTATTCAGTTCCAGTTTAAAAGCATTGTTCAAACTACAAGTAGCGATAAAACCTTTGCCTGCGGTCTCATTGTGTTTACTGATAAACATGAGCAATAATTTGTATACTTAAGGTTTATCTTATTTGGATGGGATGGACTTTATTTGATCATATCTGAGCTTTCCTTTTGACAACAGTAGCATAAAGATTTACGGGGGGGGGGTGTATGGACTCTGCTTGGCTAGTAATAAGAACAGTGTTCATTGTACATAGTCTGGTCCTGTTGTTTGAAAATGGTGGATTTAAGGCCAAAAAAAAAAGTTTCTGGTATGGAGCTTGCCCAAAAAGTGGTGCGGCGACACGGCTTTTTTTTTTTTTTTTTACCTGATTTTTTTGCTTCAAAATATCAGTTATTAAATCCCATTGTGTGGACAAGATGCGGAGTACAATTCTCAATCTATTTGTGTGCACACTGGGACAAGGTCTTGATCTACACTGTAACTAGCAGGTTTTTTTATGCTATGGGGGATAATGAATGTTATGGGGAGAGGGGTGTATAAACATCGAACGTGCCGGTTTTTTTCTCGAATTAAGCAAGAGAGAAGCTTAACCTAAATTGTAAAATAATGAAGTCTTACTTTCTGTTTTTTTCCCCCAGGGTGGCTCACTCGGTAAAGGCACCATGGTCAAGGATCTCTCTGATGTGGACCTTGTCGCCTTCATCAACCCGCCCCACCTGAGATCTATCGTGGAACTGGGCCCAGTGGTCTACCGACAGAAGCTCGCTGGGATCATCCGGGATCTGGAAGCGGCTCTGAAACGACTCCCCTTCGTGGACTCGAGGAGCGTAACCAGTAACGCGTTCCTTGTCAACTTCACCATCAGAAACCTGGGCCCTAGAAAACGGTCCCTGGGAGTGGATCTGCTGCCGACTGCCGACAACTGCTACGGGCATGGCCGAGGTAGGGTTAGCTATAGCAGAAAATCCACGTCACAATATTTTCCTAGTATACTTTCACGGAAAGTTTGGTTCATAGAATGTGGTCATTCGAGTTCCAAACTGGGCAGCATCAGACAATAATTCTTGTGGTTAGTGAAACTGAAATATTGGGTAAACAAAGTCTGTAGCCTTCAACTTCATTTTTTTGGTAGATCTGCCTGACGGTAACATAATTGTGTTTTGTCTGCGTGGCAAACTATATCTTCGATATCAAGAATATGGATTGTTGGGGGATTTGCGCTCTTGTTAAACCAATTTGCAGAATTCTGGCCTCATGACAATTCTTGTTTTTCAGTTCACTCTTCATGCTTGGATTGGACCTTAAAAAGACAGTTTTTGGTGCGTTTTTCCGTGTAGCTCATGCCGACATGTTCAGGGCCATGCTGCAGCTGCCCAACGGCTACGACCGGGAGTTCTACTCTGCCTCACTGGTCGAGCACCAGCTGCAGTTCATGGAGCGAATACCCGGCCACGTCAAAGCCCTGATCCGCTTGGTGAAGTACTGGGCTTACGAGTGCCTCCCGGACACGCTGCACAAGTCCTACCCGCTGGAGTTGATCACCGTCTACCGCTGGGAGAACGCTGGTAAGCCCGAGCGCATCAGCAAGGCCCAGGGGCTGAAGGACGTGCTTCAGGTACTGACCAACTTGAGAGGTTTGCGGCACTACTGGGCGTACCTCTACGACGCTGCACTGGCGAATCAGACCATCACTCAGCTCGGCTATATCAAGTAAGTTTAGCAGATGTGCATCCTACATCATAACCCCTGCAAATTTGGACGGCGCAGTGTTTTTTTTTAGGTAATGCCAAGCAATCTGATGTCGATCGTCGTCGTCCAGTCTCAAGTCAAATCACAAGCTGTGCTTTGGCAAATAGACTGTGCCAATGGCGTCCTTTATTTGCAACTGTTCATCGCGTGTGACCTGACTTGTTATTTGACTTGTGATCGATGACAACTCTGGAAATGGGGGGGGGGGGGGTATATCAGTGGGAACTGTTACATAGTTATGACTTGGGTTTTTCTTTTTAAAGAAAAGAACATTTAGTTTTCAAATATCCATTCACTTTAGAAAACCGCTGATTCCTTCTTGCCAAGTTATCAAAAAGATTAGCCATTCCGTTTGGCAATGCCTCCAAATGGATTTCGACTTTTCCCATGATGCAGTGCGCGATAACTGCCTCGTTTTCCATACAGTGAAACATTCCAATGTTGAGCACAATGATCTCGATAATCATAGCCTTAACATTGTGCTTGAAACTAGTCATGTTTTTCGCTTCTCCTTTTTTATCAACTTTAATGCAGTCCAATAGTTTTGGACCCAGCCAATCCAACCAACAACGCGTGCTGGGTTTACCAGAAGGGCAACAATATCATAATGATTGAGGAAGCTGCCCGTGCCACCCTGAAGTTCAATCTTCTCAAGGACGTCGTTGTCTCTGCCAACTGGAAAGGTTAAATAGCGACCAATAATCGCCGGAAAAAGAAAGAGAGAAAGAAAAGCCGGAACAATTCTAAAATGGTGACCGGGTTTTTAGCTGATCCCCAAAGTGTGTATTCGCTGTTTAACTCTGTTTGAACTTTGTTGCTGCCTCGGCAAATATTGGTGTCCATATGGAAGACTTGATCTACTGCTTAAGCGCATATCACGTGCTCACAAGGATCCTAACAAATAGCGTCAGTGTCAGTAGACTTTAGTATGGAGTTAGACGGAGCCTTTATTGCCCTTAGAGTTTATGCGACATATGTTCATCTAAAAATACATGTTTTATTGCTTTTTTTTAGTCTTTGCATGGGCGTAATAAAATTCTGCTCTGTGGTAACGAACAATAATTGTTCGATGCTACACTGTTCGAAATATTAATTTTCTGCATTAATTAGCATGGGCGGAAAAATGGCAAGGTAAAATTGCAATCTTTTATGTAGAACAGACAAACAAAACTCTACAATATTCGTATTTGAATGCCAAGTGATCCCATAAAATTCTATTCGGAAAATTGATAACGGCACAGTGTTTCAATGCCTAAATCACAAAATCTTGGTGTGAACAATTCTTTTATTAGGCACTGAATGATTAATTGCAATTAAACACGAAACATTGAGGTGTTTAGTTTCGAATTCTCCCTTTACTAACTCTTCGTCTGGCGATGTCATCATTTAAAAACTTTGCAAAATTAATTTGTTAATAATGTCCAAATAATATTTGTCCACGGGCGAACTGACCACAATTTCGGGAAATGAATGTTATTTGCTTTACAAATGTTAACTTGACGCTAAGAGCTATACCTATCGTGAGATGACGTCATCATGATCATTGTGTTTGGCGTCCCCCACTGAGCATTAACATAATTTTGTCGATTATTGTAAAATGTTTATGTTTCTCAAGTTACATATATTCATTTATGTAACTATTTCTGGGCTTGTTTGCATTATCACGGGAGGTATATTATAAATGACGGGACAAATTGTCCACTAAGACAATGATTTCAATGAATTGTTTTTCCAGTTTTACCCTCAGGAATAGTTATTACATTGATATTGTTCTAAAAAAAACTAGTCTGCGCATTTCTTGTGCTGCATATAATATATACTCATCACACATTGATATAATACATCAATAACGTCGTTGGAGGCTTATATTCAGCATATGCTTGCCTAAAAAATAATTTAATTTATTTGTTGTGTATTTGCATGGGCATAATAACATTCTGCTCTGAACTACCGAAAGAGTGGTTCGCGACTACACTTGTATAGAACATTAATTTTCTGCGTTACGATATGAGAGGATAACTGGTGTTGTACGATTGCAATCAATAATGACGAAAAAAATGATCAAATCGACTAAATTAACACTGTGTGATTTGGCAGCATACTCCCTTGATCACAGTTTTTCGCACGCAGCGTCGAAGCAGTCTGCTAACAGTGGAGCACTCAAAGAGAGAGGGGGGGGGCTCAAGAGGTTGTACAAAAAAATTGACCGTGGTGATATGAATGCAGCCAACTTCCAAGTAGTACAAAAGGGGTGTACATGGCGCCACTAACGTCAAAATAGTCCGTCACCCCCCCCCCCCCTAAAAAAGTAATGATTAAATGTATGAAATACATTTTTTAGCGGCCAAACATTTTCTGGCAACATTTGTTAAAAATTAGAAATTCAAACTTTAAAACAAAATTACAAAAAAAATTGTGAGTCCCCCACCCATCCACTTTCTGGGTGCGCCACTGATGCGCCAATGCCCAAAGCGACTGGTACAAACATCGTGTACAAAGTACATGGGATTTTTGGGATGGAACAAGAAGAAGTAGAGGACGAAGAAAGAAAACAAATCAGAACCCCCCTACTAAAAAAAAAGAAGAAAAAAAGGCGTTTTTGAATAAATTCATGTGCACTGATCAATTATTTTGCAAGAGTCCCTTTAATTTGCTTCATAGCTATATCAGTCAAAGTCAGTTTAAGAAAGAGGAGGAAAAACTTAAAGGAATGTAAAATAGCCTACGTTCAATTAATAACCAATGATTTCAAGGATTTTTTTAAAGATTGAATCTTCATTTACAGCAATCACAAACTTGATAAACTCCATGATGACGATTAATAATCTGAGCTTTTGTAAAAATGAAGACAGTTTGAAATTACGATGTCTACATAAAACACTACCAAAATTCTGTTTCTTAATTGAGGTCAATTATCATTTTCAAACAAACAGTATTCAAAATAAATACGCCCTGGGCGAGAAAAAATTACAATAACCAGTCGTTCTGTATTATATAATTATTTTCGCTGTTACGCTCCAACCAATGGCCCCAGCTATAGTTGTTACAGTTTAGTGAGATCGACGGGGCGTAACATCGAAGTGTCACGTTTTATGATGGTATTGCTATGTTGTCGCATTACTACATGTTCTTGAATGCAACATTCGTCGATCGCTCTCAAAATGCAGTGTTATGTATATCAGCTTTTAGAACAGGGGCGTTGATCTAACCTTAAATAAATATGGAGGAGAAACTCCATTAATACTCAGGCTCAAATACACAATGCTTTATCAGGGGCTTGTGTTCTGCCCTTTCCAAAAACAAAATCCTCGGATGCAAAGGTTTCCTTATCCCAGCGCTGCTTATACGATAAATGCATGATAATAATAATAATAATAATAACAATAATGATTACCGGCAATGAGGTAATAGGGAGACTTTTCCATAGACTTGCGCACAAAAATGTTCCGACTTAAATGTGCCCTAACCCGATATTCCCTGGTCCTTTTTCCACGAATTTCGGTATTTTTACTAATTAGACCACGAGCAACAAATATAACCCAATTGCGACTGCAAAATGTTGTCTCTAAAGGGGGGCTGCGCAAATAGGGGGACACCTAGGTGTCTCCCTATTAAGCCCGTGTCTCCCTACTACCGAATTTTCTACGCTAACGTGTCTCCCTAATGGTACATTTGTAGGAATAATAATAATAATAATAATAATTATCGGCATTTAAGAACGCTCTTTTTAGCAAACTAAATCACAGCGCTGGTAAATAAAGAACAACTAAAGTAAACAAGAGCTGTTTTAAGTTAAATAATAAAAACAGGTAGCATAGACAATGGGTCTTGATCAGCTTCCTGAATTGCTCGAGAGATGTGACATTTTGAATGGAAAAGGGCAGACTATTCCACTCCTTCGCTGCAGTGACCGTAAATGTTTTGTCACTGGTCAGCTTTGTTGTGCGTACGTGGGAAAGTCAGACGCAAAGGATTAGATCTAGAACGGAGGTTTGGTCTGATGTTTGAAATAGGATTAGGAAACAATCCAAAACATGAAATTATCGGGGATTTCAGGACCTAGTGCCCCTTTAATAAATGAAAAGAATTGATCTGGATAATATGCGTCCTTTTAAAAATAACGATGTGCCATGCGTTGATTTAAGGGAGAAAGTGTGCTTTTACCCCCCAAGAAAAAAATACTGGCGACACCCATGCAATCATGATAAGCTTTCAAGATCAGCACTGTCAAGGCATCAATGTAATAACTGGCTGCTATACGATACCAGTATTGTTAAAAAAGAAGTCTTATCAGGAAAAGAAATTGAAATAAAAAAAGCCAAATGTAACCCTTTAAATTTATTAAAGATGAAGCCTTGCTGTTGGATAAACACTGTCAATCTGTATGGAGATAAGGGAATATAAAAATACCATGTTGTCATCAAATACAGTAACGAAGGAAACCTTTCAGGGCACCAAACGTTTAGACACCAATTATTCTAAATATTTTGTTTTTCTATGCACGAATGTAAAGCTCGTGAAGGAAGTAATTTTCCAACACAAGGTTTACAATGAGAAAAGATGGGAAGGATAGTTCAATAAATCCTTTTCCGGAGCCACAAGGGAATAAAGACTACTTGTTGCAACTGATAATGTAGTTACCAACTGATAACGTGTCAACAACCAATAATGTCACACAAATTGACCGATATTGTATCACTAATCGATAATGTAACAAACAAATGACGGGTATAGTAAATGTATACATTATGAGTCAATATTTGTTACATTATTAGTTAGGACCGATCATTCAACAATAATTGACTGATAGTGTAGCATATTTTTCTACAATATCAGTCAATTTTGTGTTACATTATCGGATACAGTATCGGTCAATTTATGTGGCATTATCGGTTGGTGATACATTATCCGTTGGTCACTACATGATCAGTTGTAACACTGATGATCAACTTGTCATCATTCATTTCCTTTCCAGTTTTTGGTGGGTTGACCATTGACTTTTCGAGATATTCTCACCCAAAGAAGACGACCCCCATTTTCCCAAAAGCGGGAAAGTAGCCATTTTGAAAAACTATCCCTCCACAACATGTCAAAATAGCGCCACTTTCGAGCCCAATTGCATCAAAAAAATGCTCAAACTTGGAAGCCCCAAGTCCGGGCCAGAGGTTCATTGCCATGTCTCTTCAATTTCCCAACTTTATGGCTCTCAGAATTCTCTAATATAGAACAAATTTGAGGGCCGGTGTAACTTTTATTCATGAGCTCGGCGGATTGGTTTTGGCCTATTTACCGGTGTGCACCCTTCAGACGGGGTGGCTCAAAATGGCGGGCTTACCATTGTTCAATTCATTCATGCGGAGGGCCAGGATTGCACATGCCAAACGGCCAACCCCCTTCAATATCACAGTGGTACCGTTCCCAGGGGCAATCTTCGTCCACCAAGCACCAGTGCGCTGAAACACAAACCATCAGAAAGTGAGTGACCCGTATATCAATATTTGTGTTGACAATAGCCTACTGTTGATTGAAAATAGAGACTTTTCATGTTTAAATGTACCGAGGATAACTGATTTGTTTTTAATTCAACAAAGACAAGGGGTTGGACTTACTCCAAATTTCCGGTATTGTTTTGTTTCGTATTATACTACAGCCCTTTTCACACTATAGACAAATTTCTGGGTCGACGCAGGGTTGAAAACATGCATCGTTTCACACTTGAAGAATTTCAACCCTGCGTCAACCCTGCGTCAACCCTGAGATTGATTTTCGCCCCGGGTTGAACTCAACCCTGCTCCAGACCAGGGTTGAGATTTTCAACCCATGTTGAAAGTCTTGCTAGGGTTCAAAACAGTAGTAACTGAGCATGATAAGCTTGATTTGCGTGAAACAAGTGTTCAAACGATGCGGGTTGAACGCAGGATTGAAATATCCAAAATTCAGTCTGGAGCGCGCAACACTGGGTTCTCCCAGGGTTGAGTTCAACCTGGGTTGAGAGGCTCCAATGAGGAGCAATTTCCTTGGAAAGACATAACCCTGGAATATGGATTTTCGGCCAATTTTAGCCCCCGTAGAAAATGGTTTTGTTTAACCCTAAAGGGGCCGGGGGCGGAATCCGCCCCCCCCCTCAACATTTTCCGTGATAGCCTCTAAAAAAATGACTAAAAAAATGACTGTTATGACTTTTTAGCCTCGAGCTTTGCGCATCTTTTGATACCAAAAACATAAAAATCGGACCACGGGTTGCCGCGTAGCGAAAAATTTTCTACATGTGCCGAGTTTCAAATTTTTCGTCACTCGATGGCCGAGATCTTAGGGGGGGGGCCGGAATCCGCCCCCCCCCCCCCGAGAGATGGTCAAAATAACCCGGCCCCTTTAGGGTTAATAACCAGCCTTTTCAATCTTGTTTAAATTAATACATTTAATTCTCCAACGAACAAGCAGTTTTTATAACGTGGCACATACAATTGATTGTGTAATTTTTTTAAAACATGTGCTTCGATATTTCTTTTAGAAATTTCATTAAAAGTAGATGGGAAAAGTTAAACCTATGCATGAATATGTTGTCTTAAATGCATTTCGCAGAAAGAATAACCAAAAGTGAAATACTGTGTGCACAACATCGAAATATAATGCATCAATACAGAAAAAACCTCTTTAAGTTATTAGAAAACTGCACGAATGTGAAAGCTTATTTACAAAAACAAACAAAACTTCATTGACATTTGCAAGGAAAACAAACAGCTTTTCCCGGGACAGTACTTAACAGTATTGTAGTCGAGTACTTTTAGCCGAGTACCGAGTACTGCCGAGTACTTAGGTTACGGAGTACGAGTACGAGTACTAATACTTCCGAGTTCAAGAACAGGTCTCCGAGTACGAGTATTTGTACTTCCGAGTACGAGTACGAGTACTTGTATTCCGAGTACGAATACGCGGCCACACGGCAAATGGTTCACTGTGCGTATAATTTACACAGGTCTAATTTACCCAGGCCACTCACAGCTAGCTGTTAAAGGCGTTTGTACAGGCATGCACAGAGGAAAATCGGGAAACTTCGAGCCAATCAACCATTTCAAACTGAAAGTATCGATAAAATAAGGCCTTCAAGCTATACACTTTTTCAAGCACGAGTACGTACTTAAATAATCGAGTACAACTTTGACATGTCCAGTACCAGTTCTTGCTGCCCGAGTACGAGTCCCGTCATTTCGAGTATTAGTACTTTTACATTCGAGTACGAGTACGAGTACGAGTACGTGTACTCTAAAAAAAATTTAAAAAAATCGAGTAGTACTCGAGTACAAGTATTGAGTACGAGTACTACAACACTGGTATTAAACTGAAACACGTCTTTCCAATATTTCCCAAGCATTACATATTCACTTCTTTTATGTCGTAATGTCAACATGTGCTACTATATACTATTAATACCACTGAACTTACTCCGCTCAACAATCTCACGAGCTGACACTGTTCTCTCTTTCTCCTCAGGATCAAAGTCTGCAAGAATTTAAAACGGTTTTTACTTATATTTCATGAAGTGTACTTCAAGATAACAACGACATAATCTTCAATTCGTAGACACGGAATTAAGAAAATAAAGGTTGAAATAAAACTGTTTTGGTTACAAAGCCTTAACAATACGGCCTGAAATCCCCCACATTTTCATGATGTTTTGGATTGTTTACTTATCCTATATCAAAGGTCTGGTTGAAAGGAAACTAACCGAATGTCTTACCGTTCCGAGAAAAGACGAAAAAACACACGGTTGTTTACATCCGACGCGGCGGACAGTTTGTGGCATACGCATACGTATTTCAAGACGCGTCTCTTCAAAGTACTACCACGTTGTGTGTCACATAATACACACATCACCAACACATGCACGTTGTTTCTCACACATCCGCAGCATGCGAGCAACTGTGCGGCAGGAGCTCCCTTAAGTCGAGCTGTTTAGTGCTAGTTACAGTCATAACCCCCGAAATTCGTTCTCGCATGGTTCTCGCAAGATGGTTATGTGGATGTGCATATCCCACTTTCAAATGATCTTTCCAATTAATATAATTTCGTTAAAACGGTTTTGTAGCCCAATTGGGCGCATTCCAGGCCGAAATGCAACTTTAAAGATTTGAAAATAAACCGAACAAAACCCCTTTTTTTTTTTACTAAATAAGCTTCATAACATACAAGTTTCGTAAGTTTTCGGAAGAAATTCCACAACAGCCAAAAGTGATCATCTTATTATTACTTTCTGGTGTGCATAAAACGACCCCTTTTAAAGACGGTGCTTAAGCAACTGATCGTTAAGTAACCTAACTTCTATTTTTCTAAATTTAACTAAGATAGAACATCATCTGAAATTAAGCAGAGGGATTTGAAAAACAAATGTTGACAGTGGGTGTTCTTTCCCCTACAATGAAAGCATTCCTATTAATGTGTGTAGAATATCATCAAATCGAATAATAATATCAATTCCCATGGGGAAGTGTGAATGTGGTTTTTAAGCTCTGGCAGGATGGTCTGTCTGTCTGTCTGTCTGTCTGTCGGTCGGGCTGCCTGTCTATCCCAAAAAATAACCAAAGTATGGTGTTCAATATATGCCATCGATGTCGCATTTTTCGGGGTCGCATTTTAAGCTCTGGCTTTTGATCGATTTCATGCTAGACTCTCATGCAACACTCCTTTCAACACGGCCAGAGCTGAATGTGCACTCGCACTTGTTAGAATAGGCTTACAGATGTCATGGAAAGCCGTTTAGATTACGACGGAACTTTTGAAGCAACTAACTTACCGTCCCTTAGTGCGAAACCCCAGGTACATCCAACGAACATCAAGAGAACCAGGCACATGTAGAGCTTCATTCTTGCTATGATACTGAAAACGAGGGAGACAATGAAACACACGGTAAGAAACGTCCTGTGATTATGGTTGTGCCGCCATGTTAGACGTACATCAATCAGTGCAGTCTTTTGCCAAAAAAATGTATTTCCTTTGTTTTTTTATTCGGATTAATTCGGCTGTTGCACGGTATTGTGCTTTTTATGAAGTGTGCTCAGCCACAGCGGTAAAAGTAACATAATGCGTACATCAATGTCGTTTTATATATATATACATGGCAGTCATATCAACGTATACCCGAGAGAGTCAATCATGTCTTCAATCATGAACAATATGATTACCAAGCTGTTTTGACTTTGGCCACGTTTATCCATATCTTACATTTCAGCTTGAAACGAAGTACGGAGGCGAAAATGCACTTGCTGTTTGCAACTTGATGTCTACTGAACGAATGCGCCACTACTGCGCCGAGTACATTTCTTTTATAGTATTTTGGTTCAAGTCGGGGGGGGGGGTCTGTGAACCGAGTGCGGACGATAGTCTCTGTGCCTCTGCCACTCTTTAAACAGGGGTGTGCAAAACAAAAGAAATATATTTGATTCTTAAAGGGAATGTTCATCATTGGTCTTGCTGTAATTTTAATTTTCAGAAATGAACTATTTGGGGGGTTAGTATAATAGATCAAATATTGTTGCACTGACATGTTTGACGTTTGTGTTCGAAAATGCTGGAAAAACCAAGAAAAACAAAAATATTCAAGTAGTCTGGTTCCCTGACTCCACTAAAGATGAAATGGATCAAAAATACCGGAAAATTGTAAGGTAAGGGAACCAGTCTAGCTGGCCTGCACCCATTCATGAACATGGAACCGATAGCTAACAAAACAAAATTTAGACTAAAAAAAATGGTAAATTTGGAGCAGTAATTGAAAAATAGTTAGGTTTTTCCAACGGTGGTCGGCCGACCAGCGTTGGAAATGTATACAAATATACCATTTTCTTGAAAATGGCTTCACACCAGGTGCCATAATTTTACAGGATGCTTTAGCATGTCATTTACCAACATCCTAGTAAGGTATTTCGTAACAACTTGGTAGTTTTATTTTTCGATGTTTGCAAATGTTGTATTTTCCCTTTAATTAACACTGTCTTGCTTCTACAAACGTTATTTAAGTTTTTATTCTATCCAACACGTGGGTTTTACCCGATCATCCCAAAAGTGTGCGATCGCTGTTTTACTTCGTTAGAAAGTTGAACTTGTTGACACCACAACATGTAGGTTTATATGTGGAAGACATGATCTACTTTTTAAGCGCATATCTGGTGCTTACTTTCTACACACAATATAGCTATTGTCAGTAGACTTCAGTACGGAATTTGACGGGGCCTTTTCCTTTTTCAGATCGATTTCATAGTGCCATGATAACCACGGCCGTAGCGGCGTAATGCTGAATCAGAAAGAGTGGCATTGTTTTTTTTTTCCCATGGAACGGGTACGGGCCGCGTTTGCCAATAGATTCACCAGATGGTCACTGTAGTGTCGAATGTCGTATCAAATTCTAGTGTCGCTAAACCCGCCTCAGCGATCGGCGCATTACTGTTGGCTTTCTTTCTGTTTTTGGCCTGATCACTTTGGAAAAGCAACCGAAAGGTGTCGGCAGAAAAGGTATTACATTTCTAGCCTTGACGGTGCCGCTAACCTGTCAATCGTTTCATGCGAATGCCAGCTCATTTCATTAGACATTGCAATTTTGCCTTTGTCAATAGCCTAACGATAAAACAGGTACATAGGGGAACAGATTCCGAAACTTATTTGATGCCTTTTTTTAACCCTAAAGGGGCCGGGCGGAATCCGCCGCCCCCCTCAACATTTTCCGTGATAGCCTCAAAAATATTTCGCGACCCGAGCTGTTATGACTTTTTAGCCTCGAGCTTTGCGCATCTTTTGATACCAAAAACATAAAAATCGGTCCACGGGTTGCCGCGTAGCGAAAAATTTTCCGGCGCTACGCGCCGTGAAAACTGAATTTTCGCATATACGTCGTGTACACAGAGCAGAATTGCCATTCGTACATATGGATAAATAATTAGCCATAATTCCAAAACCCTTTGACCTATAGTCATGAAATTTCTTGGGTATGTTTAAGAAGAGTTGCTTTATGCTTGTGCTGAGTTTCAAAATTTTTCGTCACTCGACGGCCGAGATTTTTTTTGGGGGGGGGGGGGGCCGGAATCCGCTGTAACGTCTTGGTAATTTCGTAGCAATGGGGCCATTTATGTAAGTAAGACCGTCTGTAAAAATTCGAACAAACACAGTTCATTTTTATAGCTCTTGCTTGATAACTCTTGCTCTTGCATGTACGTTTACAACCAACGGGTGAGCCATTGAACCTTTTCTCGATCGCTGATTGGTTTCCTAGGAAAGCGATGATGCTTGATCACGTATACAACTGTCGAGCAATCCATCATTTTCTCGATCGCTGATTGGTTCCCAAGGAAAGCCTATGGAGAAAGTAAGGAAAAGGTTAAACCGCTGAAACGAAATGGTCAAGACGTTAGTGAGAGTCTGTAGGCCATGTTGTGCCATGCACGATCCGATATCGATCACTATAGCGTCTTGGGCCATGACTAGTAGGCATTTCGCCAACAGGACCGTAGCAGTCGAGTGTGATTCCTGGGCGTTGATTTCATTTCCGTTAAAGCCAGTAGCCTATTTCTTTTTCATCAAGTATATCAATTACAGTCGGTTTTCTTCTGTTTTCGGCACTCTCTCTTTGGAGAAGTAACCGATAGGTGTTGGAAGAAAATGTATTACATTTCTAGCCTTGGCGGTGCCGCTAACCTGTCAATCATTTCAGGTTAATGCCAGCTCATTTAATTGGACACGGCAATTTCGCTTTTGTCAGTAGGCTATTAAAACTCCTCCGAGCAATCCAACCCAACTCCGCTAAGTTTGATGCCTCGTATCTATCTTCTCGGAGGAAATGATTGTCTAACTAAGACCCGTTCAGTTGCCGACTGCTATGTCATCTCGAAAGAGGTGCAGCAACGAAAACGATGACCAGACAATGACAATCGAAGACTCGTGTGCAACTTTCTCAATCGAGAAATCCAGAGGAAAGAAATAGCAACTCAAAATGTGACCACAAATTCCAGAAAAGTTTGGAACAAAAGATGCAAGATTCCTAAAATAAACCAGAGCATCACCCACAGCATATTGCAACCCATGCAATTTCCGGTGTGAATACTGTGTCGCAGTCTGCGCTGTGGTACTTGCAGGTGAGGACAATTCTGAGATCCGCACGCCTTGTGATGACAAGGTCAAGCTGGACAGCTCAAAAATTAAGTGATGCATTAAATTGAATTGTGGCCAAATGATTGGTCGTGGAAAGTAGACAAACAAGAAGAACGATTGAGATGAAATATCGTATTTCTCTCCCCCAACAGTGTATTGTGTCGCAACACGGAGAAAAACTTGGCGATGGGCTGCAGTCGCAGTACAAACCGAAAATTTGCCTCACTTTTGCACAGAAACGATAGTCCAGCTGGAAACGACATCTCAAAAATTAAGAGACGCATTGATTTGAATTGTGGCCAGATGATTGGTCATGAAAAGTAGACAAACAAGACAGAAGATTGAGACAAAATATTGTTTTTCTCCCCTCAACAGTGTCTTGTGTAGGAACACGGAGAAAAACTTGGCGATGGGCCGCAGTCGCAGTCTAAACAGAACATTAATATTTTTTGCCTCACTTTTGCACAGAAACGATAGACCGGCTTGTTACACTATCTTAAAAATTATGCGATGCATTAAATTGAATTGAATTGTGGTCAGATGATTTGTCCAGAAAAGTAGACAAACAAGACAGAAGATTGAGACAAAATATTGTTTTTCTCTTTCACCGTGTCAGCCATTTTGCGAGCATCGTCAACCTTTGGAGGTTGTCATCGAGTCCAGGACACAATGGTCCTGACGTTCCAGCTTGATGCTTCCTTGTTCTTCTCAAATTACACGGTGTTGAGTTTCAGCCTTCTTGTCAAGGTGACCGTTTTAGCCGATTTTCGACTAACATTGATAGATTGTTTTGCTAAAAACGAGTTTGACGGAAAATTTGACAGAACGGATTTTTTTGGCAGATTTCTGGCAGAATTCTGCAAAAATGATTATTTGACAGAAAAACAGCACAATTTGAAAAAAAAGTACAGTTGTTTTAAAAAGCTTTAATCTTTTCAAACGAACCCCTGAATAATGGGACAGGTTGGCTGGTCTAGGTGCTGAGGTTTACTGGGAACCGGAGTTTGTAGTGACGCAACCGCGTTTTGCCTGAAATTTACGCAATTGAATAGCATCTATTTGTGACTATAGATCGTTGATAATGTAATTTGAACCTTGGTTAAGGCAATACAACAACATTTGCAAATGATTTTAAGTGTTTATAGTGTATTTCGAGTAATTCTTGCGAATTTGGCAGATTTTTGATAAATCTGACAGATTTTTGAAGTTCGTTTAGCAGAATTTGGCCATGACCTAACGGTCACCTGCCTGCTGCTTGCTGAGATAATTCTCTAAGCTCCACGCACCCAGTGTAGCAGGCAGGCAGTTTAAAAGTTTTTAAATTCCACTTTTATATGTGCATAGATTGTCTCCATGGCGGAAGGGATGTTGTATTAAATACGCTAAATGTGTTACCTAAGGCGCCCCACATCTAGAATATGGGCCAAAGTGGACATATTAAGTCGCAATAGCCATGAAAAACGTTGAGTTGCATACAGGCGCGGATCCGGGGGGGGGGTGGTTAAAAAAAAAATCTCTGTCAAAAAAACTTTTTTTTTTCATAGAAATTCCTTAAAAAATAATGCCACCCAACCATACTGCTCTGACGCTCCCAAAAATAATGATACTGGTACATATAATGTGCGCCTGTTAAAAATACGGACAGAGGCAGCTTAGATATGGGTATTTGTACACCATTCCGTAATCTAGTGTTAATAATCGTTGCATTTGAACAGCGCCCCCTATTGATATATGGTACCATCCCCCCCCCCCCCCCCCCCCCCCCGCCCCAGTTGTTCATTTTAAGGAGGCCAAGTGTTCGGAGGAAAAAAACGTGTCTACATTTCAGATTTTGTTGCTAATAAAACAACCCCCCCCCTCCTTGCAAAAAATCCTGGATCCGCCCCTGGCAGTTAAATTCTACTCTAGGATCTGACAAACATGGGTTTTTAAGATTGAATAAAAGACGAAATTGCGACAATATCGGACTTTTTGGAACACATGAACAGAACAAGAATCACGATGGAATTTTCTAGAATCATTGTCACGAGAGGGCACTATACCAGCTCAGACACGTTCGTTCACAGCGGATAGGTATTTGTTCCGTTGTGAAAAGCATGGGTAATCAAAACCTGTCCACAGTGAGGGCGCTCTTTACAAGCTGTATATTGAACAC